GAAAATAAACAGAGCATGTGAGACAACACAGTGCAACCAGGCGAGTGACCAGTTATAGTTGCCTTCAACCATTCAGGCCTACTAGGGAGCTCTGGTGGCCTAGTGGGTAAAGAATTTTGCTGCCAATCCAAAGGGAAGTGGTTCAAATTCCCCATCTGATCCTCTTGATAAAGATGAGTCATCTCCTCGTGTGTGACTTAGAGTTCCAACTGCACGACAAGTAACAACAACAGGAATATTATTTCTTTTCAGTTGGTGAATAGAATTTAATTTAGGAATATACCACATTGCATTTATCCAGATTTCCTGCCAAAATATTTTGGAGTTGTTTCCAATGAATTTGCTACTAACCTTTTTAAACTTTTTCTCTGAATATAAGCACTATATACATCTTAGCTGTAGTTATCTTTATACTTATATACACACACATACCTATATGTATATTCGCTATGTACCTGTGAGTGGAATTACTGGCTCCTAGCCCAAGGGTATTTTTAACTTTCTTAGAAACTGCAAATTAAGTTCCAATTTTTATTCCAAGAAGGTATGAAACTGAGATTGACTGCGGAATGTTGGCTCTTGAGTTTTAGCTCTTCTGTTAGGCATATAGTAAGATGTCATTCTAGTCCTAACTCTCATTTCCTTGATGACTGGGGATAATGATGGAGTACATTTTGACACCCCTTTGTAAAGTTCTAGGTTTTTTTGTTATACGATATTTTTAAATTAGCCTTCCTATTGATACAAGGTGTTGACCAATTTATTTTTTTTTAAATTTCTATAACTGAATATCCAGGTAACTCACCACCCTTTATTGACAAGACTTTCCTTTCTATTTTGAACCACATTGTTACCCTTGGAGTAAAGAAAAATGAAACAGCTGAGTAGCCATGGATCCGTTTGTTAACTCTTCATTTGTTCTGTTTACCTTTTGTCTATTTTCTGTCTGTAACATGTATGTGCCCTGGAGTCTGACCTTAGTCATAACCGCCTCTCCTGCAGATTTTCAGAAACTGTTAATCTCATGGGGGGCAGGGTGTTCGTCTTCTCCATTGGAGCAGCTGATGGATTTGAACATCCTGCCTTGAGGTTGGGATCACAGCTCCCTACTGACTAGACCACTGGAACACCCTAGTTAGAGATAGATTGATTCTGGAATATTCGAAACTCTTATCGGATTGAGCAAATTCCCCTAAATTATTAGTTTGCTGAGAGATTTGTATCATGAATGACTGTCAGATTTTATCAGATGTATCTTTGGTATCCGGGAGAATGATTTTACAGTGTTTCTGTTTGATTCTGTTAATGCTGTTCATGACATAAATTGATCTTTGAATGTCCCATTAACCTTAAATTCCTGAGGTAAACTCTCTTTAGCTATGACAGACTTTGTTTTGATATATTTCTGGGTTTGACCTGCCACTTTTTTTTTCAGAATGTGTCCTTTGGTGGAGTGTCTTTGATGTCATCTGTAATTGCCATTTTGTAATTAGGTTACTTGTCTTTTCCTTTCAAAGGTGTTTGAATTTTCTGTACTTTCTAGACCTTAATCTTTGTTGCAGATGTTGTTGCTATTTCCCCCTCATCTTTAAGATCTTTTGGAGAAGTGCTTTTTTTCCTTGAGTGAAAGTTTGTAAATGATATTGATTTCTCATTCTATTAGTCATACCTAATAATTATAAATGACTAATACACTAATTATAATACGAAGTTTGAACAATCCCGTATTGTATCTTGTCTTTCCTTGTCCTGGTTAGTGGTTGGTTTGTTTTTGTTTGGTTTTTTTTAAAGCTATGTTGGATGATGTTAGAGACATCTTTTTGCATAAAGGGATCTAATCCTTCAAAGCTTCCAGTCAAAGGATCTAATCCTTCAAAACTTCCAGGAAGTTCAAAGCTTCCTATCTTTTTTATCCTCTGCTGCCTGTGCATTTTTGCTTCCGTTTGATAGTCTGCTGATGCCGTAGGGAGCTCCAGCAGCCTCGTGGGAACAGAATTTCACTTCCAACCCAAAGGTGTTACCTTTTTGACAGTCTGCAGCCACCAGCTGCTCCACAGGAGAGAGATGGGCAGTCTCCTCCGACGTGAATTACAGCCACTGGAGGGTCAGCTGCGAGTCAGCTCCGGGGTGAAAGCAGTGAATGTCAGTTTTCTTTATTCCAAACTTAAGAGTTTCAAAGTAGGTCCCCACTGTTTCTTTGATGATCTATCATTCTAGGTTTGGCATCTAAGTTCTTCAGTTAGTGTTTTAATATGGTATGAGGTGTGAGTATGAGGTATGAGTTCTTTTTTCTTTTTCTGCAGATAATTTTGTTTGACCAGGAACATCACAGGGGAGGAGATTTCCTAATGTGGAGCAGCTGGTGAATTTGAACCTTGTTCCTTTGTATTTGCAGTACAGCTCCCTACGTCTAAGCCACCAGAACCCCCCTCAGCAATCCAGAGATGGGTAGATTTGCTTCTGGGTGCTCATTTCTGTTTTAGGAATCCATGTATCTGTGGCTATAGAAGTACTGTACTGATTGGATCATCATGATGGCGTATGTAGTAGGCTTTGGGATCAGTAAATAAAAGGCCTCCTACTTTTCCTTCTTTCATAATGCTTGGTTTATCTAGGGCACCTTTCCATTCCTTATAAAATTAATCATCATCTTTCTTATCTCTTTGAAGATCTGAATGGGGATTACATTATATCTTCAAATTAATTTTAGTAGTGATAGCATTTCCCATAGAAATTTCCTATCCATAAACGTGGTATAATCTTCCACTTCCGTAGCTCTACCTTGGTTTGGTAGTTCTCTTTATATAGGTTTCTTGTTATGCGTTGCTTATGTAAATGTCAGTTTTTCTTCTTGTCAGAGATCACTTTGAAATACCTGATTTTCCTTATTTAGAAAAGTCAAGTATATGCACTCTGGCTTCCATTTCACTAAAACTCTTCAAAGATCAATGCCTATTTTCATACAGTTGTCACCATTTTAAATCATTGTTTTCCATCTCACTTTACAGCAAATTGATCTTTATTTTTAATTCTTTTTCTTTGGCTTTGCTGCAATAATGTTTTTGTTTTCTTACCACTTCTTCCTTCGCCTTGACTCTTCTACTTTTTCCTAAGTGGCATACATTTTCTAAGGAACGGTTCTCGTCATTTTCTCTTAACTTTTCATCAGTTATATTACAGAGTAGCTTCAACTATCACCTTTGTGGAGTTGCTCAACAATGTGACTTATCTCTACTCTCTGCACTCCATTTTCAACCCCCTAAAAGCAACATGAATCTGGAGACTAAGATGTGCCTGACCCAGGCCATAGCCTTTGCAGTTACTTGTTGTCTGCCAGAAAACTGGACAGTGACAAGGGATGATAGAAGAAATGGATGCCTTTGAGCTGTGGTGTTGGAGAACAGTATTGAATATGACATGAACTGCTAGGAGAACTAACAAGTTCAACCTGGAGAGGATGAAGCTGGGCTGCTCCATGGAGGCAAGGATTCCGAGGCTTTATCTGACATACTTTGGGCATGTTGCAAGGAGGGACCAGTCCTTGGAGAAGGATGTCATGCTTAGAAGGGGAAAAGACCCTCAATGAGATGAATTGATTAAGCACCTGGGGTAATGAGGATAGGAGTTTCAGAGACAATAAGGTTGGCACAGGTTAGAGCAGGGCTCAAAGCTGTTGTACACAGGGTGGTGGCTTTGAGTCACAAGCGACTCAGTGGCAGATAACAAGGTGCATTTGCTGCTCCTCACACTGTGAGCGTCTGGGACTTCATGTAAGCTCTGTTTCCTTTCCTTACACTGCTGCCTGGTCTTCATAGCCACGCCATGGCGTTATCATTCACCTCCTTGGCTCATCCTTTTCAGTGCGTTTGTTTCTTGTCCATTTCAAACTACCCACTCAGTCATTTATTCTTTCTGCAACTCTTATCTCCTTATCTTCAGTCCACCTTTTCTATATTTGCTAAAAATAAGCCTTCCCCAGGCACAGGAAGAATTATAACCTGGCTTGAACTTCTGTGTATCTGATGGAATTCCTTAAAGTGTTTTTTCTAATTTTCTATTTTTTGTTTCCAACATGTTTCAGTCCTCGCAGCTTCATATTAAAGTCATGCTTTCCTACTTGTCCTGTATATATTTCCTTCCACTTGAAAGACTTTTCTTTAAATGATGTTCTGACAAATACTTCCACCTGTTAACATATTGACTGCCATCTCTTAACACCCTGGCGAGCTCGTACGTGATGTGTCGGGCTGCTCTCTGTGAGATTCATAGATGAAGTCCACCAGGCTCTCCGCCGAAGGAGGATGGGCATCTCCTCCAGGAGAGACTCACAGCTTCCGAAACCTGAGAGAGGGAGAGGGTCGCAGCGAGTCTGGGTCTACTCAACAGCAGTTAACGTGTTTTCCTCTCACGTTCCCCCTGAACGTCCATCCATATACCTTGTCCTTTTTACTGCAAATGCTGTCTCATTTCACTTGATGATTCAGGAAATTGCCCTCCGGTTAACCAGACTACTCTTTTCTCCAAAATGCTCTGAAGCATTAAAAACGTTGTTAAGGAAATAATTTATGAGGATGGGCACCACTAAGGGCCCAGAGCTAGAGGAGATGTTTATACAGAAACCCTGTTTACATCTTTGTATAATTGTCCCATGTGTAATAAATTAATTTGGGAACGTGCATGTATATATCACTGCCTCATCCACTTCCTCCCATCTGCAAGTCGTTTTTAATTATGCCCTCTTATCTAGTTAGGCTGTGTCCTTTCCTGTGGACCACCAGCTTCTAGATTTCTTCTGTTACGCGCCTGTCCCATCAGCCTCTCCTCACAGATGTCAGTGCTTGCTGCTGCCCACAAAGCGAGCTAGTGTCTGTGATCGGATTTCTTTTACGCCCCTGTCACCTTCGTTTCGCAACCCCTTCAAGTTGCTCCTGGCCTGGTTATGCTCCGCTTTGCCCTTTTCCTTGGGTCTGAGATCCCAGTGTCTTGTGCTTGTGTTTTAGGTCGCTCTTCCCTCTTCCCGATCGATGATGGCCTGCTGGATGACGGGCACAGCGACCAAGTTGGTGTTCTCAATTCACCTGCGTGCTACTCGGCTCATCAGAATGGAGAGCGAATAGAGCGCTTCTCTCGGAAAGTGTTCGTGGGCGGTCTTCCTCCAGACATTGATGAAGGTAAGGTGACCAGATAGAATGTGATGGGGGCGAGGGTGAGCTTAGGAGGGAAGGAATTTTTAGAGTCACGGTGGATAGCCATCTCTGTTGAAATATCTTAGTCATCCGTTGAAATAGATAATTAACCCTGACAACTTAGTTTTTCTTTCGATTTTCCAAAGGTAAGATTTTTCATACTTTGAATCTTAAATGATTTTTTTAATTTTATACTGGTTTATTTACAAAGTTCATATACATTGTTTTTCACACCAGATCTTTCGCATTTCCTTCACTCCTGCCTCCCCCCACCCGTCAAATTGTGTGATCCTGTGATTATCGCCCCACCCCAGGACTTATTTTTTTAATATAAAATTTATTTCATAATTATGACACTTAAAACCCTTTGGGTTACTCATAAACACATAAACTTACTACTGAAGATCAAAGACTGTAGCCCTTAATGTGGATATCACCTCAGCATCAGGAAGACAAACATTTTCACTGCTAAAAAAATCCCAGGTATTGCTGGATCAATATGGATAAAGGAGCCCACATCTACATCCATTGTAACATCAATCTACTTATCAAAAACATGTTGCATTGGGAAAATCTGATGGCAGGGGCCTCTCCAAAGTGCTAAAGAGTAAGGATGTCCGTTTAAAGAATGTGGTGCACCTGATCCAAGCCGTAGTCCTTTCATTTACTTCCTCTGCATATGAAAATTGAACAATGAATAAGAATGACAGAAAATTTAATGCTTTTGAATTGTAGTGTTGATGAAGAATATTGAATATTACATAGAGAAAATAAATCTGTCTTAAAAGAAGAACAACCACATTATTCTTTAGGGGCAATGATGCTATTGTTGTTGTTGCTGCTGCTGTTGTTGCTATTGTTGTTACTAGGTGCCAGCGAGTTGAGTACGATTTATAGCAACTCTGTGAACAGCAGATCCTGAACCCTGTTCTAGCCTATACCATCCTCATACTTCCTGACACGTTGGAATCCTTTGCATTAGTCCTCACGTCAGTCCACCTGTCAAGGGTCTTCCTCTCCTTCACTGACCCTCCACCCTTCCCAACATCATGTCCTTCTCTGAGGATTAGCCTCTCCTAGCAGCATGCACAAGGTATGTGAAGTGAAGCCTCATCTTTCTTGCCTCCAAAGAGCACTCTGGTTGCACCCTCTCCAAGACGTGTATTTGTTCTCTTCCCTGTCCATGGGATGTTCAGTGGTCTTCTCCAACACCACAGCTCAAAGACATCAATTCTTTTCCTGACATACTTATTCCTTGTCCAGCTCTCAGATGCATAAGCATGGGGCAAAGATGGAGAAACTTTATCTTACATACTTTAATCATATTGTCAGGGAGGCAGTCAGTCTTTAGAAGACGACCTTCTGTTTGGCAAAGTGGAGACTCAGCAAAGAAATACATTCAGCAAGATAGTTGGACACAGTGACCATAATGGTGGACTGAAGCCTGTTGGCGGTTGTGATGATGGTGCAGGATGGGGCAAGGTCCTGTCTGTTCATAGTATCTCTAGTTGTAGTCAACTGGACAGATGTAACAACCCCTCTTAAACATACAGGAAAAGAATGGAAATTAACCGTCAAACTGGATTTGGCCTATATAACAGTCAAGAGATTTATTTCCTTATGGCAGATGCACTATTACAAACAGGGCAACACAGAGGCAAAGAGAGAAATGTAGAAAATCCAAATCTCTGAATGCATGTGAAAGTCATCACCTGCAGTATTAACAAAAGGAAAATAATTTAAGGTAAAGATTAAAAACACCATCTGATGTCTGAAGTTTTGGGAAGTCTTCAACTCTTCACTCATATTAAGTATGAATGAAACTTCTGCCAGGCATAGGGGAGGTGTTGGATTACGATTCAGATACAGCCAAACCAGTTTTAAGCATGAGTCAGCGTAAAATGATTTATATGTAATGAAATATTTTAGAACATGTGCTGTGTTCTAAAGTATGTAAAAATATTTTTATTTACATGTTTGTTGTTGGTAGGTGCCGTCGAGTCGTAGACGGCTCATAGTGACCCAGTGAACAAAAGGCCTGAGCACTGTTCGTACATAGAGTTTCCGGAGGCAAGCCATTTTGGAACTGGATGCCACTCCTGTTTCCAGGCTTACATAATTAGAATATGTAAAATATTTCATTAGAGAACATGTACTTGGATTTACCCTGTATGCCTCAATGGAACAAAATAGAGTGTTTTATAAGCTTTGTAACTTTTCAAGTCTTAATTGAACCGTCCCTTTTATTCCCTGCCTACACCAACATCTTTTCTCCTGTGAAATAGTAATGGATCTATTCATTTACCTTGATAGAATGTTGACATTTTTCTCATGAGAATGCTGTTTATGGGGTTTTTTAAATTTGTAACTCTTCATAAAATATTACATTAAAGTTTTTATTGAATTTAGTGCTTATACTGACATCATTATGCAAGTTTAAGTTGAATTTAGCTTAACTAAAAGACAAAAAGCTTTGACTACTATTTTAATAAAAAGATTATATTCTCACCTATAATATAGATTACCTTAAGATCATATGTAGTGCTATTTAAATGTCATGTCATTATGTCTTTTTAATTTATGTCTAGAATAATTTGTAAAATATGGCACTTCTTAAAGTAAATCATTAACACTAATTCTTAATGCATGTTCTTGTACTTTCTCAAGATGAAATAACAGCTAGCTTCAGAAGATTTGGGCCTTTGGTCGTAGACTGGCCTCATAAAGCAGAAAGCAAGTCCTATTTTCCACCAAAAGGTAAGGACCTCTGTTTTTAATATGTGATAGGGGATTGGGTAGGTGGGATTAAAGATAATACCAGTTGTTTACTTTGTTTTAGAACTTATTTTGAATACATCTGTATGTAAGTAAATAGAGTAATTTGAAAAGATTATTAGTATGGTAGTGAATGAGGCAAAATGGTCCTAAGAACCATTCTGCTTTTATGATAAACCAGTAAGAAATCATGAGACATTTGCTGTGCTTCTGCATAAGTTGATAGTAATTTCAAGAGACTTGAATCAACACTGTTTTAAGTGTTTTATCACCACTTGAAGTAATTTGAGTACACAACCATTTGTTTTTTTCTTTTAAAGTGTTTTACTGGTCAGTAAAACTATTACCTATATGCAAAGTGACAATAAAATACAAATGGATGAGTAGCTTAACTACTGCAAGATTGACCTGTGTGTTCTGGATAATATTATGAAAACATCAGAGCATTGTTTGCTTCCTTGTGGAGTACACAGGCAGGAAGGCTTGGCTCTTTTTTAACCCCCAGCTATATAAAGGTGCAAACTCTGAGGAGGCTGCTTAGATGTGTTAATGATTTCTTGCTTGGCCACTGCTGTGACTGACCACCACAGAACAAGAGCTGCAAGCTGTGCTGGCTGTTGCTTGGAGCAAGGCAAGCCCAGCTTGAGCAGGGACCACAATAAGAGCTGCTGGCCCGTTTCCCTGCAGTGTAAGGGGGAAGCCGAGAGTGCAAGGCTTTTCTTTCAACAGTTTTGAAGTCAGTTTTCAAAGTGTGGTGGAGGTGGTGGTGATGGTGGTGATGCAGGTGATGGGTGGTGAGTGGTGATAGTAGTTGTTGTTGTTACTTTCCTGGCTGAGTGAAGTATCAAGCCTGGAGAAGAGACTCCAATAATCCTTTGACATGGTCTTATGTGAGCCGTGGAGAAGGAGCCGTATTGGGAACCAGCTGAATTCTGTGGACTCATCTCCACATTTTGTCACTTAGGATTAATTCTAGAGTGTCCACTACTAGTACATGCAGTTCTTTAGGGAAATGGAATGACGTGGTGATCACAACTATTGATACGTTTGAGTGTACACTTAGGGAGTGGACAGCACTTTCTACATTGCGATTCTGGGTGCTTGGCCTTTTCACAGATTAAAGCTTTGGCCCTCTTTCAACTTGAAGGTCCTTAACCCTTTTGGTTTATAAACAGAAGATGCTAGACCAGTGCGGATGTGCATTGGTAACTTAATAATTGTACACTGCAGTTGTCTGTGGTTTTACCCTTGTATTTCTAGTTTATGTGGGGGGGCTCAATTGAAGATGCGAGCTAGTTGGCGATGATCCTGCCCAGGCTTCCATCCGCCTCACTGTGCCAGTGGCCCACCTCCTCTGTCCGCATCGCTCACCCCAGCTAGTGACTGGTTCTTCTTTTCCACTACATTACCAGAGCAATCTCTGAGAATCACCGGATGGTATCAGCCCCAACATGTCTGCTCCAAACCATCCAGTGGCTCCTCTCAGAGGTCAGAGGCGAAAGTGCGTTCAGCTGGCTACCTCAGGCCTGCGCAGCCCGGCACCTGTTTGTCTCTGTAGCTTCTCATTGATGTCTCTTCTGCTGACCTTGTTCTTCCTGCCTGGAGGCTTTTGTGCCTGACATTCTCTTTCCCTGGAATTCTCCTGAATCTCTATTTATCAGGTTCTTTACTTTTGTATCTCAACTTAAATATCGTTCCTCACGGTAAATGTTCAGGACCCACGAAAGGAGGCAAGCCTTCCTAACACCGGTGCATGTCGTCTGGTGCTCTTTCTTTCCTAGTACTCATCATAGTCTTAATGTTAGGTCTGTACTACTATACACATAGGTGATTGTCTTAGTGGCATTTGTTCTAATGACAAAAAAGACTGTCTTTATTCATCTGTATGTCTGTAATAACAAGGATTGGTTGTTCCCTAATAAATTACACAAACAGGAATAATGAAGGATAAAGTTAGACTTGAAGTCAGTGGGGGGAAGGTTTACAGAAAAGAGACATGTGACAAACCACATACCTCTGGCATTGCAATGCAGCTTCTTGCCACTAGGCCACGAGAGATCCCTTACAGCCTATATTCTTAATAAATATTTTATGATACTGAAAAAAAAAAAAAGAGACGTGAGCTAACCTTTAAAAGTACTGGCCGGTGGTATAGAACAAAAGTAATATATAAAGTATATTTAAATGATTGTGCAAGATACAAAGTAAGCACAATGTTTATACATGATTATATTCAGACTAGTAACATTTTTTTAAAAGAAAAGATAAAGGAGGGGAAAAAAACCTGGACAGCGTTGATGGCCTAGTCCATAGGGAATTGCAGTGCTAGCCCAAAGGCAATGCCTCTCAGTGGTTCGAATCCACCAGCAGCTCTGTGGGAGGAAGATGAACTCTCCCTTTCTCTAGTGTCATTTACAGCCTCCAAAAACTCACTGCAGAGACAGCTGTAAGTCATTTACGACTCAACAGCAAGAAAGTTGAGTTTTTCTTAAAAATACAATAGATTTAGATAGTTTAGAACAACTTTAAAATAAAAACTTCCAAAACAGAGTGGAGAAGCCTGTGTTTTCTCACCACTGGACCAATTGGTAGCATCAGGATGGATGGCGAAGAGTTTGAGATTGTTAACAACTTTAGTCTGCTTGGCTCCACGCTCAACACTCTTGGCACCAGCAGCCAGGAAATCAAAAAACGTATTGTAATGGGAAAGTCTGCTGTTAGGGACCTCTCTAAAGTACTCAAGAGCAAGTGTCTCTCTGGAGACTAAGGTGCACCTGATACAGGCCATGGTCTTTGCAATCACTTGTTATGTATCAGAGAGTTGGACAATGACTAGGGAGGACAGAAGAATTGATGCCTTTGAGCTGTGGTGCTGGAGAAAAGTATTGAATGTACCCTGGACTGCCAAGAAAACAAACAGATTCATCCTGGAGAGGGTTAAACTAGGCTACTCCTTGGAGGCAAGGATTCTGGGGCTTCGTCTGACCTACTTTAGACATGTTGTAAGGAGAGACCAGTCCTTGGAGAGGGACATCATGCTTGGTAGGGTGGAGGGACAGCGCAGGAGGGAAAGACCCTCTATGAGGTGGATTGATTCAGTGACTGGGGTAATCGGGATGGGAGTGTCAGAGACCATGTGATTGGCACAGGACAGAGCAGAGTTTAGGGCTGTTGTACATAGGGTTGCTATGAGTCGCTAATGACTCGATGGCACGTAACAGCAACATTGTAGACTAAAGGCTGGAAGCTGGTTTGGAATAAATATAATGAAATAATAATAAGAAGTATAATGAAACAGTTCTTTTTTAAAAAAAAGTAATTATGATGAAAGTTTACAGAGACTTGGGTTTTCATTCATTCATTGTTGCACTTTTCTCCCTGTCTACCCCTCCCCCCAGTTAGCTCTTCTCTTTGAAAAGTAAAAGAACAATTCTTTCTTTGTTATAAATAGTTCTTGTATTGTTGTTTTAAGGTGCCGTCAATTGAAAGTCCAACTAATAATGACCCTGTGACCAACAGACCTGAACCCTGTCCTCTCCTGTGCCGTCTTCATCATCTCTGACACACTTGAGCCCACTGCTGCAGTCACTGTGTTAGTCCATCTTGTTGAGGGTCTTCCTCTCTTCCACCGACCCGTCACCTTTCTGAGCATGATGTCATTTCCAGGGAATAAATAGCCTCTCCTAGCAACATGTCCAGAGTATGAGAAATGAAACTTCACCATCCAACTTGCACTTTGGCTGCATTTTTCCCAAGGCACATCTGACTGTTCTTTTCAGTTGCTGCCATTGTCATTTTGTGTGTGGCTTTTACAACTTGTTTTTTCAAATGAGGAAAAAACGCATCAAAAACAAAAATTTAGCCCTGGCTAATATTCCAGGATTTTTTTTCCCACCATTCTAGTTAATTGCAGTAATTGCCAAAGACTAGTGTTCTCAAATCTCATATTTTTCCCCCTAAGATTTTTAGTTTTGTCTGTAATTGAGTGTTTTTCTATGGTTTCTATGGTATAGAAGTATCCAGATTGGTAAAGCTGCCTTATAACTAAGGCAGTGACATGAATGCTGTGTGACAAACACTTGGGCTTCCTTTGCTGTGAGTGGGATCACACTTCATAATTGTTATCTTGTTTAGTAAATTCTAGAGAAACTGTTGCATGGTTTCTTTTTATGATAAAGAATTTTACTATTTAATGACTCCTTTAGTTCTTGTTGTTGTGTTTTAATCAATTTCATTAAATTTGCCATTAAATCAGTGCCAGCTAATGGCGAATGTTAACATAGTAGAGACATCTTATCCTCAGGTCTTTCTAGACAATCACTGGAGAGGTTCAAATCAGCAACTTTCGGTTATCTACTGAGTTCAGACCGTTTTCTTAGATAGGTCAGAATGTATTGTTATTGTTGTTGTTTTGTTGTTGTTGTTATGTGCCAGTGAGTTGCCTACGACTCATAGCAACCCTATGTACAACAGCCCTAAACCCTGCTCTATCCCTTTCCAACCTTAATGTCTCTGAAACACCTATCCCTGTTACCCCAGCGACTGAATCAATCCATCTCATCGAGGGTCTTCCTCTCCTGCGCTCTCTCTCCACCCTCCCATGCGTAATGTCCCTCTCCAAGAACTTATCCGCCTCGCAAAATTTCAAAAGTATGTCAGATGAAGCTTCAGAAGCCTTGACTCCAAGGAGCAGCCTGGCTTCACCCTCTCTAAAATGAACTTGTTTGCTCTCCTAACAGTCCATGGTATATTCAATACTCTTCTCCACCACCACAACTCAAAGGCATCAATTCTCCTTCTATCATCCCTAGTCATTGTCCATCTCTCTGATGCATAGCAAGTAATGACAAAGTCTAGGGCCTGTATCAAGCATACTTTAGTCTCCAGACTGACATCATTGCTCTTCAGTACTTTGGAGAGAGGTCTCTGACTGCCAACTTCCCCATTGCAACTCGTCTTTTAATTTCCTGGTTGCTGGTACCAAGAGTGCTGATTGTAGAGCCAAGCAAACTGAACAACTGTCAACAAACTCAGTCTCTTCACCATCTATCATGATGCTGATAGTCAGCCCAGTGGTGAGAATCTTTGTTTTCTTGATGTTGGGCTTCAATCCATATTTAAGGCTGCAGTCCTTGACCTTCTGCAGCAAGTGCTTTAGTTCCTTCTCAGATTGAGCAAGCAGGTTTATGTCGTCTGCATAATGCAGATTGTTGATGAGTCTACCTCCAATCCTGATGCCATACTTCTCCTCATAAAGCCCAGCATCCCGGATAATCTGTTCTGCATATAGATTGAAAAATTATGGAGATAGGACACATCCCTGGCATACACCCTTCCCAATTTTGAACCATATAGTGTTTCATTGCCCAGGTCTTAAAACTGTCTCCTGGTCCAAGTATAGGTTTCACATAAGCACAATCAAGTGTTCTGGGATTCCCATTCTTTTCAGAGTCGGCCATAGTTTGTTGTGATCCACATAGTCAAATGCCTTTGCATAATCAATGAAACATAGATAGACATTCCTCTGGTATTCCTTGCTTTCAGCCAAGATCCATCTTACATTAGCTGTAATATCCCTAATGCCATAGCCTCTTCCAAATCTAGCCTGCACTTAAGGCAGTTCTCTGTTAATGTGCTGTTCCAGTCGTTTTTGGATAATCTTCAGCAGAATCTTGCTTGCATGTGATATCAGTGATAACTGTTTGATAATTTCCACACTGTCAGATCACCTTTCTTTGTAACGAGAACAAATATGTTTCTTAATTAGTTGTGATGTAAACATTTTCTCCTAGGAAGATCAAATATTGGCTGAACAGCATTAAAATACTATTTTAGAAAATGAATCTTCTCTGTTTAGTGTATTACAATGATGATAATTTTTATGGCTCTTTGATCATTGTTGTTAGATGCCGTTGAATTGGTTCCAGCTCATAGCAGCCTCACTTACAGCACAGAACAAAGCGTTGTTCTCTAGTGGCGTCTTCACAATTGTGTTGTGTTTGAGTCCTGTTCTGTCCTTAGTTGTTATGTTGGAAGAAGGAGATCATGCTTGCTGTTCACTTTGAACCCACTGTTACAGCCGTCTTGTTAAGGGTTTCTTCTTCACTATCATGCAGAAGTATCCGTTTTCCTTCAGTCTTCGTCATTCATTATCCCGTATGCATGTGACGTGATTGAAAATATTAGAGCTTGGATTAGGCACACTTGGTCCTCAATGTGATAGATTTTTGTTGTTGACTTCGACTTAACAATAGTAGATCAAAACATTACTTAATCCTGCGCCATCCTCACCGACTCCCGTGTTTAAGCGCACCCTCGCAATTACCGTGGTAGCCCATCTCATTGAGGACCCTCCTCGCCACCTCTGTCCTTCACCTTCCCAAGCAGTGTCCTTGCCCAGGGACTGTCCCCTCCCAAGGGCAGATCCTTTATCAAAAACAAAAGTTTCCCTTCAATCCAGGCTTGGCTTTCTCTGTTTTTTTCCCCAAGCAACTTTAATTTTTTTATTCAAATTAAAAGGTCTAAGGGATATGTATATGCATTTTCCCCCCTGCATAACCTTAGCATTTAGAAGTTTACATATATATATAAGTTGTTAAAGACATACTTACGCTTTAAAGTATTTTACTTTCTTGAAGATGGAGTACTTCTATAAAAGTAAGTGCATTATGGAGAACTGCGGGGTCACATCAGGCCAAGTAGCAGAAAAGCCCTTGTGGACATGAAGAGCCTTCTGAGTTCGGAGGACTCAGCCTCATACCCCCCACTCTGCGGTTGAACACTGGTGACCTGCGTGGTGGCATCTTTGTGTTGACACTATGCAGTGCGGTTTATTCATTGTGTAGTAGTTGTGTAATAAGAAGGACATTTTAGGTCACAGTTACCAGCCACTCACAATAACAACATAATAGTGTGGGTTTTGATCAGCTTACATTCATGAAGCATGTTCTGTGTACTCTACCTCATTGTTTGTTCTTGTTGTTATTGGGCCATCGAGTCAACTACAATTCAGAGTGACCCAGTCTTTTATTGGAGATTGGTGTTTATATGTTCTCAGGAAAGAAAGGAGGACATCCTTCTCTGGGTACAGGACTCAAAGTTCACACTTGGTCTCCAGGTGGTTTAAAAATTGATCAAAAAGAGTGTCGACTCACACTGCTTATCCAAGTTAATGCTTGATCTGAAAGTTCTCTCCCGTGCTTAAGGGACCTATTTTGTTGTTGACTTGAACTTTTAGTTCAACCTAGTACCATCAGGAGTGAGGTAGAATTTTTCTTCTATTTATGGAAATCCCTGGGTCTTTCCAAGTATCTCTAGTCCAGAAGTAATGCTCTATAACTTACATTACCCTAAGGACATTTATAGGGGATTTCAGGGCCTTTTATGTTCTCCTTGTGAATTCTGCCACAGTCTTCCAGATTTTCAGGGAGGCAGTGTTATTACTAGAAAAAGCACGGAGTTTGAAATTAAGCCTTGCTACTACATGCTATCTGACAGACTTTGGGCAAGTAATTACAGTTTTTAGTACTTGGCTGTTTTGTGTGTTTTCCATAGACGATTGTGTTCTTCGCAGGCGACTCGACGGCACATAACAACAACATAACAACATTGTGTTCTTCAGTAGAAGGCATAAATAATGGTCCTAGCCTTTTTAAAAGATATTTTTCTTTCAAAGCATGTACTTTCTAAATAGTTGTGAAATTTAAAGTGAAATAAATAGTGTTGACATCCTGCCTTACGTGTTCCGGCTGTTGCAGGCTATGCATTCCTCCTCTTTCAAGAAGAGAGCTCAGTCCAAGCTCTCATTGATGCTTGTATTGAAGAAGATGGCAAACTCTACCTGTGTGTGTCCAGCCCTACCATCAAAGACAAGCCGGTAAGGAGCCGCCACCTGAGCTTTAGACTCCAGACGTGCGTTTTCCAGCGAATGGAGATGTCATCAAAATACCATGTGAAGAGTTCAGCTTTTGAATTCTCAGATTCTGTTTGATACCTATATTTTAAATAAGAATCTGTTTCCCTAAGTCTGCATCTAAAATTGTGAATAATATCAGGACCAGCACAGTAAGACCCAATGCAGTAACGTAACTTTCTTCATAGGTTCAAATTCGTCCTTGGAATTTGAGCGACAGTGACTTTGTGATGGATGGTTCTCAGCCTCTCGATCCTCGAAAAACAATTTTTGTTGGAGGTGTGCCTAGGCCATTAAGGGCTGGTAAGTAAAATACGAATTGTACTTTCTGGGATATCTTTTAATTATAAATTACTAGTAAACACCTACTGTGTACATGATGCTGTAGAGAGGAAGTGGGACAGCTGCTTCGGATTTCAGCCCCTGCTAACTGCAGAATCCTAAGACATGTTCTGAGAACCTTTGTGAATTTTGAGTTTTGTTTGGGTTTTTTGGTGTGGTTCTTTTTATAGTAGTTTAACCATAAACTAAAGTAGTGGCTTAGTTGAGTGAGTGATAAATTTCTGTTCCTTGATAATTAAAGCATCAGACAAAGGTCAAGTAAAAGATGTCACATAGGAACATAGTTACTGACTTACTGATTTTGAGAAAGCATTGAGAGTTTGCGTTAAATGTTAAATTTGTTGTAATATCATTTAAAGCACTGAAATAAAATTTCACTTAAGCCATTTGCTACCTATTTTTATGATAATCACTTTAGATGGTTTGGGAATAAAATAGTTGGGTGGTATTACCTACCCAAATGAAGAGTGAAAAGCAGAGATAAGGCTCTTTTCATGGTCTGTATAACAAATGATAATCTTGGAACAGTGTTAGTGATGATGGTGTTTCCCATCGACCCTTACATTTGAGTTTTTTTCTTTGCTGCATGAGACACATGTAGCAAGAGGCCAAGTTTTGCCGTGCAAGCAAGAAAAGAGATTTAATAGGGAAAATACTTTGGGAATATAGGAAGACCTAGAGTGCTGAAGCAGCACTAACCCTGACTCAGTGAACAAAAGAGTTTAGGGGTTTATCAAGGGATTTTTAAAGAATTTTATTTTAAAGAAATTTGTATACATCAGCTGCTTCATGAGAGAAAGATAGGCATTGTTGTCGCTTGCGAGTTCTAGTTGATGAAAACCTGCTGGAGTGTCAGCTATGAATTTGAGTTTCTAAAGAGTGTTAGGTGTAAAGGAGTTTCATGTTTATTCAGAAAGGAAGGTGGGGGATTTCAGGAACTGATTAGGAGAGGAGTAGTTATGCTAATTAGATATGAACATAGCTGGTGTTCCTTCAAGTTGGGTTCTGTGACAGAGACTTTCTCAGAACAAATCACGTCTAAAAGGAGGTGAGTTCTGCAGACACGTGGAGCAAGGTGTCTCTGCTGTGGTAAGATCACTTTATCTAAAGACAACAGTGGCTTAACACACAGGAGTGCCAGCAATCACCAGATGTTAGTGGAGAGGCTGAGAGCTGAAGTCCCAGTGTGATCCCTGCTCTCCTGTCCCAATCGTATAGAGATTTGATCCTAGATACTGAGACCTGGCTGATTGGAACCCACTCAGCTGGCCCCCTCCAGCAGGTTTTCAGAGGTTGTTAATCACACAGTAGGAGATTGCCCATCTTTTTCTCGACATGTCTTGGAAATGGAGCTTACGTAATTAGGTACGCACACACCACTCACAGTGACCCTAGAGGTTAGTATAGAACTGTCCCACAGTTTCCAGGCTGTATTCTTAATGAGGGTAGACTGGATCATCTTTTCCCCACGGGGAGCAGCTGGTAGTTTCAAACTATCAGCCTTTCTGTTCATAGGCCAAGACTTACTTGCCCCACTATTCCACCAAGGTTCTTTATGGGCTCTGAAGTGGGGAGCCGGGGAAAGAACACTGTACCAGATAAAGCCAAAGTTCTTCAGTTGGCAACTTTCTCTTTGTTGAATTCACTAACTGGGTGAAATTCGTTGGGGGCAGTTTGGTGGGGTGAAGAAGATCCAAACATCTCTTCTGAAAGAACACCACAATAGTCGCAAGTGTATTTGCTCTCAGCAGGAGATGCCCAATAGACAACTGCGTGTTTCAGAGTGGAGATACGGGTTCAGGAACTGCATGCTGTTGAGTGGATCCAGACTCTTGGAGAAGCTGTCGGACACAGTTGAACGGCTTCCTAGAGTTTTCTAGGCTGGCTGTGTGGGTGGGTTGACGGACCTCTGGCAGCATAGTTCACACGGAGTTGTGAGGCCAACCCAAAAGCCAGGCATCTCTGGCAGTTGAAATCCACCAGCAGCCTCACTAGAGAAAGATGGGCAGTTTCCTCCCCTGTGACTTACAGCATCAGGATTGCGACAGAGGGCCAGACTTGATGGCAATGCCTTTGAAGTTTGAGTAGAGTTTTGAGTGGTAGCTTTGGGCAGATTGATCCTTGGATTTAGCAGTGGCAACGTTGAACAAGAGTGATTAAGGTGAAGGAGCAGTGAAGTAAGAGTGTTATTATAGGGCATTGAAGAAAGAACAGCAGGAGAACAGTTGGTAAATACAGAAAAAGGTTTTGAGCAATTTGAATATAGAAGGAAGAAGAGAAATTGAGCAAATGTTTATAGGCATGAGGGCATTTTTTTGTTGTTGTTGCTATTTAAAGATGTGGTAGGTAACAGTATACTCCTATGCTAATTGGAACACTCCAGCACGCAAGTAAAAATAGATGGTGCAGGAAGGAGAGGGAGAATGCCGAAGCATGCTTTTCTGTAGAAGAGTGCGTAGGAGTGTCTTTCAGGTAACCCCTGACTGGCGGCGGTGTGGTTGCTTCCATTACAGTCAGCGCTCTGACCTTAAGTCAGTTCTAAGTTGCTATTTTTTATTATTTCCATTTATTACCAATCTCTTTAGAAATCTATTCTTTGTCACTGGGGTTGGCCTGACCAAGATAACATCAGCACATTCCACTCTGCAGTCCTGAAGTACATTTTGCTAGCGATACAATGTTATGCAAAAGCATAACATTCGGTTCATCTTAACTCAGACACATGCTAATTCAGGGTGCCTCCTATTCTAGGATGTGCTCTGCTCTCAAAGACTTGATGACAGAGAGTCTCAGCTGTTCTCTGGTACCTTTAGTGCTTACCAGCAGGTAGATGTAGTAGTGAGTGAGGTGCTGCTTTGATCCCGCCCCTGTTTCTCATGTAACAGCCTCCTCTTTTGTGCCATCTCATCCAGGTCACATATTACTTTCCCATTGACTGACTTTTCAAAAATAGTATAAAAATTGCTGGTTTATTGTGTTCTCTTGGAATTGATGTGAACTTCTTTTCCTTCTGAAGTGGAGCTTGCTATGATCATGGACCGGCTATATGGTGGAGTTTGTTATGCAGGAATTGATACAGATCCCGAGCTCAAATACCCAAAAGGTGCTGGACGAGTCGCCTTCTCCAATCAGCAGAGCTATATTGCTGCCATTAGTGCTCGATTTGTTCAACTTCAGCATGGTGACATTGATAAACGCGTAAGTTTCACATCTGTGATTCCTAGGAAGGTGTCCAAAGCTTACAATGCTGAGGAGTTAATAGTACAGTAGAAACAGATTGTTGTTCTACAGTTCCTGAAACTAAAGAGTGTCAGATCAAAATACCCTTCAGTTGTAGAATTATTAAACATGCTTTAATAGATAGCTATAATACAAAAAGCATAAATGTAATTTTAAAGGCATTTCAATTTGTTTTTACCCTGTTCTCCTGTTAGCCCTCCCCCATTATCTCTGATCCTGAATAGTAAATGGATAAGCCTGCTTTTCTCCCAGTTATTTGTATAATTTGATAAATTCATATGCTTGAGAAGCACTTAGAACGTATTTTAAAATAAAAAGACATTGCATGTTTCTCTTAAATGACTGTTAAAACTTTAAGGTATTTACTCTTTAGTAATATATTTCCTACATGATATAAAAACTTTTAAGAAGTCCTGAGAATATCGGAAAACCAACCTATTGAAAAATTCCTAGGATTATCATCTAAAATAGAGATGATCAGGTGAAACGCAACTGTTGCTTTACAAATCTGTTTTATGTTCAATTCTGTGGATAGCTAGTTCACAGTTATCCTGTAGTTGACTGATACACAAAATAGTAGACAAACGTCCTCTCTGAAGCAAATTATACATGAAATGATTCTTTCAGGGGAGATAATAACTAGTTAACTAATACTAATTGTTGACTAAACCAGGCATGCTAGAAGTAGTTATCAATCTAATTGCCATACTGAAGACCATTAAAAAATGGTTAGAATAGTACATTGACAGGGAACTGCTAGAAGCTTAGGCTGGGTTTAGAAGAGTCCTTAGCACCAGGTATGTGATTGCTAATGGCAGATGGGTCCTGGCTTAAAGCAGAGAATGCCAGGAGAATGTCTATTTGTGTTTTATTGACTATCCGAAGGACCAGAACAAATTATGAATAACATTGACAAGAATGGGAATCCTGGAACACTTAATTGTGCTCAGCGGAATCTATACCTAGACCAAGAAGTTGTCCAAATGGAGCAAAGGAACTGCATGGTTTAAAATCAGGAATGGTGTGTGTCAGAGTTGTATCCTTTCTCCCTAATTATTTAGTCTGTATGCTGAGCAAATAATTCATGAACTGGACCCTGTAAAGAAGAATGTGGCATCAAGATCAGAGGAAGGCTCATCAATAACCTGCATTATACACATGGCACAACTTAGCTTGCTGAAAGTTAGAAGGATATGAAGCATTTGGCTGTAGAAGATCATGTCCTGTATACTGTACAGCCTTCAGTATGGATTGCATGTCAACATCAAGAAAACAAAGGTCATCACCACAAGACCAACAATCATCGTGTGATAAATGGAGAAAAGAATGACAATTTTTTTATCTTGCTTGGATCAACAGTCAACATTCTTGAGACCAGCAGTTTCAGGAAATCAAGAGATGTATTTGTCTGAAGAGCAGAAAATGGGACATAGGGGCACAGGGCCATGAGTGTCTCTCTGAAAGGGCCAGCAGAAGTGAAAATAGCACAGCCCCTCAACACCCTAGAGTAGAAAGAGCCTGTAGCCCAGCCCTATGGTGCTTCTAGAGCTACAGAAGCAGCAAGAGGTTCATTTATTCATTGTAGACTCACAGTGGTGGTTCTGAGAATGGGGTTAATTAGGGAAGTGAGTTGGAAAGTAGGGGACACAAAGAATATCTCACAGTGTAAGTCCAGATTTTAGTGCAGTAGTTCCAAGGCACAATCCCTCTATTAGTCCAGGCTCTGGTTTCAGTTCAGCAGTCAAATCTAAATCGTCAGCAAGATTTGCCCCAGAGGTGGTGATAAGTGAGCTTCTTCAAGCATCTGATTGAACAGCAAAGTCTTTAACTGGCCAGCACAAGTGTAAAAAGCCACAGGTCACACCTTGCCACAGATTTTCCACAATAGTGCCATACACAGTCTCTACCACCATCACCAAGGTCTTACTTATTCCAGTCTCCCTTAAGTCTTAACCAACCTCAAATCTTGTTTCTGGTGTGGGAATCACTCTCTCTCTTACCCTAGTCCCACAGTTGTTGATAATTTGCAATACTGTGTGCCTGTATTTCATTTCTTCCTTGACAGTCTCCGGTTTTTCTACATTTATACTTCTCACATTCCACATTCCAATCAGTAGGGTCTGTTTGCAACTGTTCCTCCTCCTCAGTGATTCCCAGCAAGAAGGCTCTGCCTCTGGTGCCATATCTGTTAGTCTCTGAGTGTGCTCTATGGTACCTAGGGTTTTCTGAGGCCTTTTCTTTCGGGGGTGGATGGCCAGTCGTTCTCCCTACTCTGTCTTAATTTGGATGCTCGACTCTGGAGCAATATTTGACAGACAAGAATTTTGCCCATAAATGCAGATGAGAGACTTCTCATTGTTCAGGTAACGTATCAGGTGTTGGTCCTACCCACCACCTCCTAGGAGCATGTATCTTGTTCTCAACCCCTGCTCTGCTTGAATCTAGCTCATTTCCCTTTCCCTGCCCCTGAAGCACCTAGCTTCCCCCGCCCCTAGCCAGTCCTGGTTTGATGGCTCAGGCCTCCGCTCATCTCTGTCCACCCACTTCCTTTCCACTCCCTTGTGATGTTAGTGCATTGCAGGAGGAACATCTTCCTGATGACGTCTTCTCTTCTAAAGTCTCTTGTCCTCCTTTGTCTCAGAAGAGATGCGACACAAGGGTCTCCAATTTCAGTTTGCTCGGTTCCACAGTCAACACATTTGGCACCAGCAGTCAGGAAATCAAAAGACCAATTGGATTCAGAAAGTATGATGTCAGGGACTGCTCTAGAGTGCTGATGAGTAACAGTGTCAGTCTGGAGACTAAGAGGTGCCTGATAGAGGCCATAGTTTTCACAGTTATTTGCTATACATAAAAGAGCTGGACTGTAACGAAGGATGATAGAATAAGGAGCAATGCCTTTTGAGTTGTGGTGCTGGAGAAGAGTGTTGAATATACCGTGAACTGCCAAGAGAACAAACAGGTTTGTCCTGGAGAGGGTGAAACCAAGTTTCTCCTTGAAGATTAGGATTTTGACTCTCCATCTCACATACTTTGGACACATGGCCAGGAGGCACCAGTCCTTGGAAAGGGACATCATGCTTGGAAGGGTGGAGGGACAGTGAAGGAGAGGAGGACCCAAGATGAGATAGGTTAACTCAGTGACTGGAGAAATGAAATGAACTCTGTTGGAGATGATGAGAATGGCTCACATTCAGGCAAGGTTCAGAGTTAACGTACTGGTACTAGTGTCGCTCCAGGTCACAGGCAACTCTGGTACATAACAGCAACATGTCTGCAGTTAAGGTAGTTGGGGACCAGAAGAAGCTTAACATAATTGATTTTTAAAAAATCACCTCCTTTAGGCTAACACTGCAGTCTTGCATGGACAGGTCCACTGTTAGGGACCTCTCCTCATGATGAAGAGCAGTGATGTCAGTTTGGAGACCAAGTTGAACCTGATTCCGGCCTGGTCTTCTCAACCACCTGCTGTGCGTCAGAGCTAAACAGTAAGACTCAAAGAAGAATTGATGCCTTTGAGTTGGTGTTCTGGAGAATATTGCATTAACTTCCAACAGAATAAACAGTTATGTCTTGGAAAGGGAACAGCCTGAATTCTCCTTGGAGGCAAAGATGGTGAAAATCTTTTAGACTTTGGACATGTAGCTAGGTGAGGCTATTGCCTGGGAAAGACATAATGCTTAGAAAGATAGAGGAGTCAGCAAAGTCGAGGAAGACCTCCACCGAGATGGACTGACACGATAATTTCAGCAGTGAGCTCTGGTGTCTAAGAGATATTAAGGATGGCACTGGATAGGGCAGGGTTGGCTGTTCATAGGATTGTTATGAGTCATACTCTACTTCATGGCACCAAGTAACAAAAACAATACAATTTAAAATATACAGTACAAAATCCCTGATTGGGGCGCCCTGTCAAGTACTGGAGAACTAGCCAAAAGATAGGCATTTTGAACCCACTCAGGAGGGCCTCCAAAGGCAGATGTGGTGATGGGCTTCTGAATACCCAGAGCCCCGAAAACCCTCTGGAGTAGTGCTCCTGTGCCCCTTCTGGGGTCTGCCTGGGCAGGGACCACCTTGACAGCAGCCGGCAGTGACACTGACACAGAAAATGTGGCCCAAAAACTAGTTAAGAAGAGGGGTATACTTGTCCACAGATACATATACCTAAACTTTTTGAGCTTTCACAGTTCTTGTCCAGTGGGTTTTTTCAGTTATGGCTGGACATTGAAATCAGCTTTCAGAATTCTTACCTCCTATCTCCCCTCCCCCAAGATTCCAATGTGCCTTTTGGAGGGTCCCCAGGTGATTAGACTGCATGGCCAGTGTTCAGACCACTGTCCAGTCTGACCGTCCACTTTGGCGGAAAAATGACCTGGTCAGAGAGGAAGTTACCGACATTGCGCGTCACCGTGGTGTGATGTGCTCAAGCAGTGGGAAGAGGTCCCTGCAATGCCCTGCCTCACTGTTTCCATAGTGATAGTGAAGGGACAGTTCATTGGGGTGCCGTATGGATTGAACAAGGGCTTCAGCAGTAGGTGCAGACAAAGCAGGGTGTGTGAAGATGGCATAAGCCTCCATTCTCTGGTCCAGAATCACTGTACATCAGAGCCCACGTGATAGCACCTAACTGCAGCCTTGATGCTTCAGTGGCCACTGAGATGCAGTGCAGGTAACTGGAGAAACAGATGCCTTCTTCCAGCGCTCATGCTAAATCCAGAACTAACAGCCCAGAGATAGACAGGATGCTCTTACTAAGAAAAGATTAGAACTGTTTATTCAGTTTACTTTTTCAGGTGTACTTGGTTATCTGGACCATAGTTCCTAATTTTCTGATAGCTGGGAGACACTTTGTAATTCATTGTCTTTTTTTATAATAGTATTTCATAAGTAATAAATTCCTTTTTATAGACACCTAAGTGAATTATGTTATACACCAACTTGAAGAAACCATTCATTTCAGTAGTTAGGAATAAAGTTAAAATTATTATGGATTTGGTTTTCCGGTATGAAACAATAAAATATAAGAATAGGAAGAATTGATGAAATTCCTTTTCACACATAAAAGAGTTAAATGTTGAATATTATTACTATTCAACAATAGGTTTTGAGTAAATTTAAAAAATCATAAGCCTTGGAACTACATTTGTCTTTTAAGTTTTAGAACTTTTTGTTTTATAAAATAATTTCTCTTGTTGTCTGCCTTTGAGTTGGAAACAAGTCATAACTGACCCTTCAGTGGGTCTTCAGAGGCAGTAAATCACACAGGAGGGGATTGCACGTTTTTCTCCCACAGAGAATTGCGTGCCTTTGGATTGGCAATGCAGCATCTTAGCACTGGGTCCTCAGAACTCCCTAAGATAATTTCTAGGTTTTAAAAAATACTCTATTCAAGACTTTTTAACCCACCAGTTTTGCATTAAATTAGGCACTGTGGAGTGAAGTTAAGGATGCCTCCCTTGTCCTCCAGTGGCTCAGACGTAGACCAGAGACAAAGGGGCATCCGTGGTGCGGGAGGCTGGAGAGCAGAGAGCTGCCTGGAGCCCCACTCACTGCATCTTCTCCCTCTCCCCAGGTGGAGGTGAAGCCATACGTGCTGGACGACCAGATGTGTGATGAATGCCAGGGCGCACGCTGTGGGGGCAAATTTGCGCCTTTCTTTTGTGCCAATGTCACTTGCCTGCAGTATTACTGTGAGTTTTGTTGGGCAAATATCCACTCTCGTGCAGGACGTGAGTTCCATAAGCCATTGGTCAAGGAAGGTGCTGATCGCCCACGCCAGATCCACTTCCGCTGGAACTAAGACTAGCGAGCCGGCATCTGTTCTAGGAAAGAGAGGGTACGTGTGGCTTACTGTGTGTGAAGATACTGACGTGCAGAAGAAATAAGTGCATTCTTCTGCCTCTCACCCAGCTCTCGATCCATGCATCTCTATCAGCAGCCGAAACACTACAAGCCTCTTGTTTTTCACCAAAACCCTACATCTCAGGCTTACTAATTTTTGCGATATTTTCATGTTAAAATAAAATGTTTTTTTGTATTTTCTCCAAGTTATTTTTATATGTAAAGTGAAAACTAGATATGAGAATGTTTTGCGTAGGGGCAACACAGTCTGCTGCTATATAGTGGGTGAAGCGTGCACTTATTTCTAAACATGGGTTTTTAACTTCAAGATCTGCCCCAGTGATTTACCAAAGGTAGCAAAAATAATAGTGAAGATGGAATATGTCTGCTACAAATGCTTATTTTTATTGTCGCTATTTTCAGTGTATACATAAACTAAAAAGTAGGGTTGGTTTTTTGCTCTCCATTTTGACTTGCAAGAAATAATACCTCAAGATAATCTGATTTATTAGCTATTTTTAAACATTTTTAATCACAAGCTGTATTAGCTTTGCTGCTATATAGGTGTTATGTGTAAATGCCACCTATTAATACGGGATTGAAAACGTTAGAGACACACTGCATTGCAGAGAAAATGCAGGCAGCACAATATGGCCGAAACTGCCATAGTTTTAGAATGTGAAAAAAAAATGCATGTTGACTTACCTGTATACATCATATGCATGCACTAGAGTTATTAACTAACGAGAGGGCAGGTATTGCAAATGTTCAAACAAGCTCTCTTGAATCTAGGTAGCATGAACAAATTATAAAGATTTCTTTAAAAAAAAAAAGCAAACTTGCATGCATTTTATCGTGACTTCCAGTTCAAACCTGTGCTACATGTGTACAATATGCAGATTAGTTTTAGAGTAGAGAGTGCAGCCATTTTGTGACCTGGTCAGTAGTGGAATTCGATTTTATGCAGACTGGATGTAATATGTGTAATCCCTGTGCAATGTCGTGATGTGCGGTTCTAATTCATGTGCAGTGATAGAGTCTAGATAAAAGATGGAGTCAAAGGAAAAAAAAAAGACAAGGATTTGAAATCAAGTCGATTTTAGCCCCTTTGCTAGTTCCTGGTGAAGACATCCTTTCCAGAACCAAAGATGGCCAGTACACTGCTAACCAGTCATCGCATGTCCACCTAGAAACCCAGACCTGAAAAGGGAACTCTAGAGACGAGTGCAAAGCTTGAGTAAACCCAAGGAAAGTCAAAATGGAGATGGGGAGATGGGGAAAATAGACAGATGGCTAGTTGCATGAAATTCAATTCTACCTTTTAAGACAGTGGTGAAATCTGGCTTCTACTTGCTTACGTGTTTGACCTGTGTACTTTGGGGTCTTCTGTCTAAACTGAGGTCACTGTTGCATG